TGCCCAGGGGCAGCTCTAGTGACTCTAAATATCCCATCTTGGTCTGACTCATGCAGAGAGACAGTTTGGTGAAACACTGCTGCGATGATGAATGATTCTGTCAACCACGGCCAATCAACTGGGAGATTCTGGGGTTTGCTTGGTCAGGGGCCTGAATTCAAACATAGATTGCATATATATGTATCAATCACTTGCAGAATCAAATTTACTCAAGCAGCAAGTGCAATATATTGTACATGCAACACGGATGCGATATACATGTATACACAAAGAAGGTCAAGGAATGCACGTTTATTTCATCTTGTGAAATGGGCTTGGCCTCTTCCCTTAAGTTCTGATAAAATCTGAAGAGTATTTTTAGTGTGCATATAAGCCACAATCTTTTCATCAAGGAACTGCACCGTACACCTGTAGGTTTGATTGTAAGCCAGTCTTATGAAATATGACGTGCCAAGTTAGTCTGTGCCAAGGCTGTTATATTAGGCTACAATGTACATGCTCATGTACTTTTAACATTAAAAAAATGGGAAACTATGAATCCACAGTGTGACTGCTGCTTCATGCGTCTGATGTAACACCAAGAAAGTGTTAAAAGCATCCATGCCATAAATTTAATGCTAAAACTAATCAAAGCCATGTTTTACTTGGGATATTCCTCCTGCCAAGATTTCTTATTCATAATTACAAAAAAAATTGTAACAAATAAAAATTTGAACTTAGATACAAATTTTGGTATTATTGTTTTCTATTCAACAACATCAGTAAATAAAATATAAAACTCATCATGGATTCAACCAAATCATCATCAATCAGTTCTCTCAAACACACATCAAAAAGATCCATAACCCTTACCCACATAGGGCTCTCCAAATCAATAAGGAGGTATTTGGAGTGTATTGCACCACTGAAGATGGTTGAGCCCAGCAACTAATGTGACTTGATGACTTTTGACACTTTAATGTATCATCAATTGAGTTCCTGCCAATGGAGGATTCAGGGAGGATGTAGGCAGGTTCCACAGTGTGAACAGTGCCAAGAGAGTGAGGCTTAATGAAGAACTGTGGTACTACCCCCTTCCCCAGAACTGTATCATAAAGGAATTTGCCATGTCAAGAGAGAAATTCACAATACACCTCATAGAAAGTGCAGTTATGGGAGAAAAAAATTAGAAGAAACTCTTGTTAAGAAAATCCATTACTGATTAATCATTAGTTCAAAATCACTGACAAGAGCTTTTCACTTCTATCTTGTGAAAAAGCTGGAGCTTTCACATCTCATGAACTAAATTTCCAAGATATAAAGATTTTATCTGCCAATATTTCCTTGTGAAAAGTAGAAAGTATGGCATGCATGCCACATCCACGAAATCATACTCAAATTGTTGCATTAACCGTCTATTAGGTGTTAAAAATATGAGTTCTTCAGTGAGACATCAAGAAATTTAAAGGTTGTATATGTACGGTAAGTTCATATGGCATTACTAAGTATGACTATTCAAACAGAAATACCCTCCAGATTGGACGTTTATTTTCAAGACCAATACCGGTAAAATTCTTTTGGAGGTTTCAAAATTTCTTATTCTTATATTTTCAGCAGACATCCTTGCCTAAGTTTGTTCAAACACCTATGTAGCTATGGTACATTTCTGCAAGATACATGCCTGTACTAAAATATTGGTATTTAGCACTTTGAAGAGAGGTGGCATCCTGTGATGGTGAATGCGTGGTTCAGCTTTCAACAATATATACACTTCACAGCAGAGCAATCAAAGTTTACATGAAATTGCACCTGCACTAAATGTTTTCACACAGGACTTCCACATTTACTGAGTGATTCAAAAGGACACACATTTTTTCAAATTTGTTTTCAAAAGGAAGTGCGCACATTAACACTGTTACAGCAACAGTCTCATAATATCTATTGTAAAGCATCAAGTTCAGGAGCACAGTGCAAGATTGTGGAGGGGAACTTCCTGATGATTCTCAAACCTTGCCAAACCACTAAAAACAATTGCACTTTAAAAGGTTGTGTGGCAAAATCCCTTCTTTATTTCTTTCAACAGATCACAAACCTTGTCATTCTTCCTCAACTGCCAAAAGCCAACTTCCCACATTCTTTTGAAGAACTGAAGATAAACACATATACCCTTCCTTGTTATTAGAATTCTTTTTCATAATACGTGTATTATTCTTGGACAATCTAACAACCATGCTCACAATCTAACAACCATGCTCGCACATCCACACACAGCATCCATTGTACCATGCATAATTAAAGTTGCATTATTGACATCACCACAACCTGTACACTGGAGATGCTTTGTGGCCGACCTAATTGCAAAGACAGATTTACCATGAAAAGATTGACAGTTGACCCAAAATAAAATTTTGACAAAACTAAATATCTCTGGGGTCAGAGGGTTGTTGTGAGAGGAGGGAGGGCCCATAGTTCTTCAAACCACACAGCACAACAGATAAGGTGCTTACAATAACATGTCGGCAATATACATGTATGTACAGTTATACATGTAATTGTCAGGGATCCTCCCAAAATCTGAAAACTACAATTACATGACTTTTCAGGACTAAACTTAGACAATTTCGATGATATTTAACATCATTTGGTTATAGGGTTCATCCCCCAAAACTCGAAGGCTTTTTTAATGGTCTACTTTCAAAGACTTTTTAATGACTTCCACAATCGTTATGTGTAATTATCCTTTGACGTGACATCATGGGGTTTGACATAACAGCAATAACTGTCCATGATTTGCAGATCGGAGTGCTTCAGGCAAATATTGAAATGTGTCTTGAGAAACGCAACACAATTATGAAATACAAGATGTAAAAGATGAAAATTTAATGACTTTTAATGACTCCATTCACAATTCTACAAACATTTTATGACTTTTCCAGGAATTTCATGACCACAACATAGTTTATAGATTTTGAAGGAATTTAATGACCACTACGAACCCTGAGTTAGGTATTATAAACTAGGAGACTGCCACTACCGTAAATTTATCATTATTCCATATATCACATCAAAAGCATCTCATCAAGAACAGCACGTGTATGATCCTGATTTCCATGACTTTTCCCTGATTTTTTTTCTTTGACAGCAGGATTCAACGACATCCTACATTTTCCATAACTCTTCATGACCGCAGGAAGCCTGAATTGTACAGTTGAACAAAGAATCGACGCGGAGTGGGATTTAATCTGTAACATCGAGAAAACTGTGATAGAACAATGTTTCACATTGGTACATGTACATTGTACATTCACATCATCGATAGATGCTGCAGGCAAGCCAAACAAACTAAATTAAATTTATGCACAAGGCAGGGGAAAACACAATAAACATAAAAACTGAATGAGTGTGACAGCAATGTAATTGAATCTTCAGCTGCCGATTTCATGAAACATGGCATATTTAACTCTAAACCATGCATAGGCCTTGCACTACCAAAAAAATAATAATACCGGTATACATGTATGCAATGAATGTCTCAGGTCTACTGGTAAGTCTATGGAGCCAACAGGGACCAGGGCTCCCTAAAACAAGACATAGTTTTGTTTTTCAAAAATACTGAAAGGCAATTTGGGGGACTATTTTGTGTCTGTTCCTCTCCCAAACCTCACCTGCTAGGAAGGCCATAGTAGGTAACACTGAAAACATTCCATATTTTGCCCCTCCCCCCAAAAACATTTTCTCAGGATATATATGCCTTTTGCAGGCCTGTATCTGAAACTCCTCACACTCATAAACAATGATTCGGGGAACCACTGAATATGGTATCTTGCAACACAATGACACAGGTTACCAGGAACCAAAAAAACCAGCACTCCTCCAAAACTAAAAGTATTAATTTGATCGTCACATAATAATAATATGCACTGTTACTGTTTCTTTTGATTCCATGTCATTACACTGTCATACATAGGATTGTTATTCAGTTATCAGGGTAGCTAAACCAGAAGTCAAGATATACTCATACTTAACTCTCCCTGTTTACGGATTGTACTCCCTATCTTTTATCTCAGCATGTTTGTCTTTCAAGACATTTGATGATAAAACCTATAATATACTGTCAAAATATTAGACTTTTTAATTTTTCAAATTATTATTATTTGGGGCCCAGTTTGGGGTAGCAGGTTAACTGCTTAACTGTTGGGTAATCCTGGATGATATCTGTGCAAACTTGTGTCATTTACCTAACAGCTGCAGAAAATGTTAACTGCAAAACAACTGCTTCCCCCAGGGTTTTAATCTTTCTTGCCCAACGGTTGAGTGATTCACCTGGTGCACTGAGCTGGGCTAAAGAGTCTTGCCCAGCATTTTTCATAATGCATTGTATATTCATTGACCCAAAAGTCGTTGCTTTTCATTTCCCATTGCATTTGTATGTTTTTTTGTGCAATGTGGAAAGAGAGCTAAAATGACAGGAAATCATCGCCTTCTGTAAAATCATGACTCTATCCCAGTGCAATTAACCACTCAGTTGGGTTTGTTATGGAGCATATGTCCAAAGGGAATATACCGAGTGCAACATACGGAAATTGCATTCCCGACATGAAGGACCCCCCCTCCCTCCCGATTACCCTAATCATTTGAGAGGCTTTCCATTAAAAGGGGCAAAATTGAAGCTCTGTGCGCCAATCAATCAGGGCTGTGCTCATATTACCATGAACTAGCCCCATCCTCTCATGGTGAGCCACTCCTCAGGCAACTAACCGCACAAATGGATTACTTAGTTACACACTATCCCACCAATCATTACTTCATTGTGTTCAGGCTAAACATGTGCACAGCCATCGCTAATAAGCTGATAATGACAAATTAACACTGTTACTGAGTTCAAGTTGCCACATTCACCAGCTTGCCATCAGGCTACTGCCCAAAAACAGTCAACATATTGACCTGAAGTTAAGGTAATGAAATAATACATGTAAATTAATGCTTTTTGAAAGGATTCAAACTGTTATACATCAGCTTACCAGATGTGCTGGTGGCTATTTGGAGTCCAGCGAAGGCAAGCAGAGCAAGGCACCACAGAGTAGTGGGGATGGGAATGAGTGACATTACACTGGTAGACATCAGTAACCAGACCAGCGATTGCAATCACGACATCCAAATCACCGGTGCACGCATAAATTCTCCAGGGAGTCTCGCGCCTGCAAAGGATCAAGACTGGGATGAGCCAGATTTACAAAATGCACTTCAGATCTGTGCAGTATATGATCGGCTCATATACCAGTAACGTGTAGGTCAATAGTGATTGGATGCTCAACACAAGTGAGGCAACAAAATGATGAATGATTGGTCAGTGTAAGCATATGCCTAGGTATAGGTCCCGGCCCCATGCTTGTTGCCAAGAGACTGACTCTATAAGTTATCCACCTCCTTCCCAACCTATTCCAGCATTACCACTGATTGTGATAGCATGCATGGATCAAACCTCCTGGAGCCCTCTAAAAGGAAAAATAGAAACAAATAGAATATGCATATAACTCACCCTCCTTCAAACCTGCAGGTCACTGTATGATAAATTTATCCCCCTCAAAATTGTTTGTCATATATGGCAACCTAATAAATTATGCAAACATATCTATCACAGGTAATCACGTTTTCTTTGAAACACATGCCCCAGAGCCTATTCTCCCTCAATCCAACCCCCCCTGGCCTCCCCCAACCTGAAATATCACTGATTCTCTGAAGAGGTCAGCACTTCCAGGTGAGTTCCCACTAAATGAATACCACAGTTTTAATGCCAAGAATGTCAATCAGCTGAAGACGTTGAAGGAGACAGGCGCAGATATGAGCATGGGTGAGAAAACATGCACGTTACTATCACATCCAACCCGCTGGGAAAAGTTTCCTTTTATCACACTAATGCACCAGAATCTGCATCGGAAGGATGAAGGAGTGATGCACGATGTGATAATTGGATAAGATGGCACTGTTATCTTGGCCAGTGGTGCATTAGTAATTTTTCTGAGCCATTCCCGTGGTCACCTTCTTCCTTCTGCACAAAAATATTTTGTGATTCGTATCCGACTGTGAATCCGCCGAGGGTCGGGACTAATTTCATAAGGATTTTCTTCCGTGTTTGGAAAAGATGAGGTGATATGCAATGAGTGAACATACTGTCATCTGAGCTTCATCTCCACAGCCCTACTTCGTGCGAAGGAGTATTTGTAACCTCTGGGAGACAAACATGAAACACTATCGTTTCAGGAGGAACAGCTCCCAAACGAAATACACATAAGTCCACCAAAATGAAATTCTTTTCAAGATCCTCATACCTATAACTTTAGAATCATAATGCATTTTTTACGCAGGTAGCAGCAAATATTTCAATAAATATCTTTTATTCAACACCTGAAGAAATCCCCATCATCTGATTGGTGGGTTACTGATCACGTGCCATTAATCAGTTGTTATAATCCACAGTGGGACCATTGGTTATACTCCTTTATTACATCAGTGTACTATGCACAGCCGTAGCTCTTTACGCACAGAAAGAACATTGCAAGGTGCAGATGCATGTGGTAGGCATGTGGTTTTAAACCTGTAACCATTGGCAAGATGCTAGTAATATTAAAAATCTCTTTACCTTCACACAGTTCTTTATTACCTGAAAACACAATTTCCATTTTTCTGGAGGTTATCCATGATACTGATAGAACTAAAAATACTGCTATTGACAAAGAATAATATTCACACCAAAATGGTATGTATACAGAAAATCTGTAAAAGAAGAAACAAGTTAACCTGCACAAGAGATGAGAAAGCAAGCACACTGTACAGTGAATTTAAAAATGGGCATGAATATGTGACCTGCTCTGGAAAAAAGGGTATTACGGGATGCTGTGTTATTTCACGCTAAGGGCTATTTAATGTGGACAGGGTGATCTTTTACTTCTGGGTTTATTGGCTTCTATTAGATCAATACTTTCACAATTCATACAAGAAATCTAACTGTTGCAATGGGTTTTAAGAGACTTTCTTCTTGGTTGATTTCTTTTTCCTTTTCCCGTGTTTAAAGGGCCTTATCTCTGAAAGCATTTCTGTTAATGTGTATGATATGATTACACAAAAATCAATATATCTCCAGATTGCAAAATGCTCTTGGGTTGAAACCTACACCAAATTAAAGCTTATAGTGTAACCAATTTAAATATGTAACTCATTTTGAAAACATTGTCCTATAATACCCATTTCTGTGGAACTGGTCACATATGGGCACAAGCGGAGTTTGTGTTCAACAGTTATGCGCTATTTACATGTAATTTCATTTTAAGAAATTGTGTTTTATTTGAATCATTTTTATTGCCACATTTATACAAAAAGGTATTTTATGAGATCTCATGATCACTCATAGTGATGAAATAGCGTATTTTGTTTGTTATGAACTTAACTGTCCAGTGGTGGTCAACATGTTATTGGCCAGTCTTAGCCAAATTCGCACAAAGACTTTGGAAACTGATGTTTTGGAGAGACAAAATAAAATTACAAATATTGCATGGATAATGGAACAGTGTATTAAAATATAAAAGTTTATTCATGATGGCAAAAGTAGATCTTGTGTTAGAGATTTTTTGCTCTTTATTTCCTGGTCACAGCGGTAAGTTGTAGTTAATTGCAAAATTAACACACCAAATATTGCAAGGATATTACTGTCCCCACTTGTCCGGCTAAGCTGCAGGCAGCAATCAGGCATTTTGGAACGTTTACTTTTGTTTGTCAGACTGGGGCAGCGATGCTCATCGAGCACTTTCAAGTGCCAGAGTTGTAACTCTTTCTGTGTCCTTATTTTGCCCATGTATTAACGACCCATCCTCACACCATGTAAACAGAGGGCTTCCTGATACAATGCATTTGTGGCAAACTGATTATGTGGAGAGAGTGTAAACCAAAGTGGCCACTATCGTAATCCTTACTCAAGTCTAAGGCACAGATGTCATACAGTGACGTATAAAGGCTAATACTGCATGTACATCTATACATGTAAATATAAAATTCAGTGTTATTTTGTTTTGCACCAAGTTTGAAACCACCTCCAGTAGAACCGGGTAATAGAAGGAGAATAAATGCACAAGCATGAAATCAGAAACATTCATATTCTTATGTAAATATACATGGACATGAAATCTTATAGAATGTATTTTTTCCCCTCAAATTGTCACTGCAAGACAGAATAGAGCAAGGTATTACTGTATTCAGACACATGTAACCAAGGGGGGCCGAAGGGCAATGCCCCTCTGGTGAGCTGGTCCCCCCATCAGCAACAGCTGTAAGGTATTCTCCTCCCCCTCACTGGTACTGTGTCCCCCAATACCTCAAGCTGACCACAGGACTGTTTGCACATATTCTAGGGAGGCTGGTTGCGTACTTCCTGCATACATGAAATTTTACTCACAATTGATTTTTGATACTGGTTGCATGGATCACTTTCCTCCCACAGGATCAGTGCAAAGGGAAACCGATATCAATTACTAATGGCATTTACAAGTGATACCATCCAAAACCTTGGTAATTCGATAATTTCAAAATGATAAAAATAATCTCAGAATAATTGGTTTCAGTGACTCAGTCCAGGTTTAGTTGGCACAGGTCTTGTTACCAATTCTAAGTACTCTATTGTCACATCCCATGTGCCACATGCAGAGACTTGCCATTATGACAATAATTGGATGGCGGGCTGATACATCCTGCCATTTCAAAGACACCGTACTTTGGGAATAGTTTAAGGAGGTGAAACACAGAGTTTTACACTGAAAATAAGAATGACATACTTAACCACATTGCGCCGGGAGCATTTATCAATGTTGATGATGCTGGGACGGGATAATTATCATTGTTTTCTTTTTCAAAATTCTTTTTCAACATTTGTATCTTCATTTACTGGACACTTATACCCACATGAAGGACCATCTGTTTTCTACTTTCATCTGACAGACAACATCTATTGACGCTGGAGTATTTCAGCAAGACCTGCCACCTTGTAAAAAAGCCCAGATTGTGCGGTGCTATGTAATTGTCTTTTGTTCACGAAACTGGCACAGTGCGCTGCTGACCTCTTTTCAATAGGGACCAGGTTCGCGTGCAGTGGCACTGTATGGCTCATTGCTGCAGTGGTGGAGCACTTTTGTCCCCGGTGGTAATCTACTCATGTTAAATCCCCAAAACTGTGGTATACTGTTTCAAAACAAGGCTGGATTATCTCCACCACTGAGAGTGACAAAATGTTGGTAATGCCCAGCAGCCTGGTCTTTTGTTACGAGTACGGTCTTTTGTTACAAGGCCCAGTTCCCTTTGTCCAATTTCGGAGACCCCAGCCACGCGTATAAAGAATACGTGTCCCGTACCGGCAACCCCAGCGGCAAGTCGTTAAAGTAAATTTTAGTACTAAATGTGGACGATTCTTCTGAAATGTGTAAATTTTTCATTAAGCATGATGGCACTTAGCAAAAAACATTAGCCAACCACACACTAGTCCTCTTTGACCCTTTCTTCAGGGCTCTACGATTGCGGGTAAATATATTTTGAAAGTTGGTTATTCCCTCTACCATTTCAATTGCTGGTGACTCAGGCCCGGAAGGCCTGATACTCCATGTCATGTTTCCAGATTTCCTCAGTACTATTACCTAAATGTAGATGCATACAAAGCAGTTTTGCACTCCATATACAGCAGGTCCGCACAGCAAATTTGCCAATAATTGATCAGGATTGCAGTCAGTGCTTGCCTCCATCTTGGTAACGTGGAATTAAAAGTGTTAAAAGAAATGTCATCTTGAATGCCTCATGCAGCTAAAGCTAGGCTTAATAACAGGCCCTGAAACTGGCATCTGCATTGTGTGAGTCCTTGAAAGGATATTTCATGTGTGGTAACAGCAAACTCTTCGTCAGCGAAAGTGTCGTGACAATTCAGCTAACACATAACCAATTTGCTCAGTGGAACAGTACATACATAGTGGTGGGAATGATTACAGTGTTTTGGTGAAGATTAACCTTTCCATACCCAAATCACACAATCATTAACTGACTCATTGCTCTATCCAGCATGTTCATGTACATAGGAAGCAGTCCAATGAGTTGTTATCACATTTTCTTCGCAAAGGCAATTTTTTTATGATTGAACTACATGCACATGTCTCTGCAAAATCATTTTGGCTAAATTTTAAGCACACCAAATTTGACGTAGGCCCTAAACAAATATATCAGTACTCATTATGTAGATTAAAAGTTAGTAATTTGACAATATTCAAAATGTTACACTGCTTTCTGAGCACTACATATTCTTCATGTTTATATAAAATGCAAAGTACCAGTACCTTTCCTTAAAAATCACTGTCTAACAGTTCAAGCAGAAGAAACCAGTCACATGCATGTAATTTCATGAATAAGAGCCATATTTATACTGGTCCATTCACTCCCACATGGCAGTTGCTCTTTTTTGTTATTCACAGGTGGACTGTTTGATTAACTTCCAGTCGTTGTTACGATAGCTCACCTCAGTATTGAAAGTTGACAATCTATAGACTACAGCACCATGGTATTTGTATACTGGAATCCATGCAGGTATGTAGAGTTGCATCTCTGATTCCCAAATACAATATTTTGTAATGAAGTACAGCTGGGATTTACTCTGTAAAACTGCAACAGCCACATTGAACATTTTAAAAATGCAGCCACTGGAAATGTGAGTAACGGTCTGGCATCGTTATAGAGCTTTTCTAGTTACTGTGGTTCATGGTGTACATCCAAAATCAATGATGTGAGCAATCAGTAACTTAAAAAGACTGAATGATGATCAAACTACAAATGGCACAACAAAACCTACTCCAAAATGGCCATTTGGACAAGACTCAAACCACATCATGGTAACCATGGCAACCTCCTCAGCATCACTCTTTGTAACTACAACACAAATTGCTCAAAATGCTTCAGCTAGACAGCTTTGATTGAACTGTTGAGCGAAGATGAAAAATAATTAAAGGGAAAACCTCACAACCTCCAACCATTTTCTCCCTCATCAGAGTCAACTGCAAGCAGATTCTAAAGTGCTCAAACAAATGTCACTCAAGCCTCACAGGCAAATTAAATCCAGCATGAAGGCACACTGACAGACCACACTGAATTGAGGCTCACATATTCAACTGGTAGAAATTAGTGGGGTTTGTCATTTCATATTATCATTTTATATTATATCCCAGCTCTACATAGGGTGTGGATGTGAAGATTTCAAACTTGCAGTTTCAAATTTATTTTCTAAACGCTCATCTGATATCTGAAACACAAAATTCTGCTTCTCTAAGCCCACTGATATGACGGAATGAAAAAGACTTAAAATTTGTAGTTGTAGTACCAATTTTGAATGGTACCCTTTTCAATGAGTTGTGTGTGAGCTTATAGTTAGTTTGAAAGTTTTCATGTGATTGTGGCAAAAAAGGTAGGTAGACTCTGATAGATCAGCTCCTATATGATCTTTAATGTTTGCCCCATGGAATCTAGCAATTTGTGCACACAAACTAAGATGCTAACTCCTTAAGTTGCAAAAATGGTAAACATTAAATTCCCCCCAAAAGAAAAGGAAAATTACTTTTACTCTGTGCTTCTGGCAAAAAAAAATTCAAATTAATTAACAGAAATTTTATCAGAGGAAAAGAATTTTTCACTCAAATGTGCATGTACATGACTGTACATAAATAAACTCATCTTTCAATCAGTCTTCCTTGTTGAATGAGTCCAAGTTCCTACAAATTTGCATGCTTGGTTGAACACTTGATATAATCAAGGAACTCTGGCCTGTCTTCCTTTAATGCCACAGGTTGTCTCATGAAGGCCAAGGATTGACCTGCCTCCTACTCTAAATACAACAGACGACTGACATAATGCACTCCAGTTTCATATCGGTGTTCATTTCTGTGCTGGCAGCCACAAATGATGCCATTATACAGGTTATCATTCCTGTAGTAGACATTAACGTGGCAAAATGTCGGACTTTCATCACTCTTGATCACCTTGTAGTTGAAATCGACACTATTGATTCCTCCCTCTCTCCCCTTCATGCCACCAGCAATCCTGGTCAATATACCAGTACAAAATGTGTGCATACATTTGAAGAAGGTTGTTTTGGGTTCACTGTGTAGATTATAAGCTTACATGCCTTTATATATGTGTATGTGCACAGGTACGTATGTGAAAAATGATTAAAGAAATATAAATGTACATGTATACCTATGATGTACTCACTGTGTAGGTAATTTGTACGGTGACCATGCAATTACTGTAAAACTTATAGTGAAGCAAAAAACAAACAGGAAATGAGGAAAAAAATTCATACAAAGAACACTAGAACACTAGCTCTAAAAGATGATGCGAGTACCGACCAGATACACAGTGTTCTGGAAACAACACAAACGCTGGCGCTAACTTCACAGAACCCATTTTGGTATTCCAATGGTGCTAATCACTTACCTGAGATATGAGAACATCAAACCACCCCACACACACTATGGGTACACAGTGGAGCTGAGCACTGTGCACACGAGACGCACCAGGATCGAGGACTACATACAAGTGCATTGCAATTAGCTCCCACAACGCTCTGAGCTGTTCGTGTATATACTCCACTCCAATGATGGATTGTAATGATGCGCTGAGTGCAGCGATAATCCCAAGGAGGACCGCTTCTCATGTGCAGACATGAATCACTGCTGAGAAATTATGACCAATTTTCTCGGTGAGTAATTCGGAAGAAGCTGGCCTGGCAGTGCCATTCAAATTGGCCTCACTTTTATCTGGCCTGGTCTGCATCTCCTCTGTGAAGTACCGTCGAATGATAACACAGTCAGTCTCTTACAGTAATTTGCCAGGAATGACTTTTTTGAGGGTGGAGGGGGAAATTGTGGAGAACACCTGGCTTGGTTTTCGATTTTAATCATTGCCAAATTAAATTGGGGGGGGACTGCGGGCAGGCTAAGCAAGGCTTTCTTGATAAGATTAAAACAGCCCATGGTAAACAGAGTTGTTTTTGAAAGATGAAAAATTAAATACATATATAAAGTGTTGTGGCAGAGAATTGACCATGATAAAAGCCTCAGCAAAAGAAATGGATAAATCTAACTAGTTGAATGCGTGCACTATACATTAATATTAAATGTTGACAAGCCAATGCCCTCCAAGTACAGTAAGTCCGCGGATAGACAAGTCACCCTTATGTCGGAGTGAACCGCATCCTCCAAAGATTCAAAGTGCAAACTTATGGTTGCAACACCAATACCGGATTAGAGTAATAAGGTCAAATTTCTTACTTTCACAAAGCAAAGAAAGAAGGAAAGAAACTGATTTAGAAAAAGGAAAAATAACTTTGTAGAGAGAACATCAAATATGAGTAGGATTTGTAAAGAAATCATTTAATCAGTCAACTGTACTTAATCTGTTTGTTTCACCCTAATCGTGCCAAATCCAACAAGTTTTTATGTGATTTGCACTAAACCTTGAGGGTTAGGGGAGGGCTACTTGTTACAGTTCAATTTAAAGAGTCTTTATACGTGTACTTGCCTATGAAAGGAACACTGCTTCATCTTATATAAAGAGATGCTCTTCTATCACCACTTCCATCATTTGGTGAATTATTCCATGTTCAGAACAGTGTAAAAGTTTGGATAGATATAGATGCAAGGCAACCAATTTAAGAGAAATCATTTTTTTCATTGTAAAAACCTTTGCCACCTACATTATCCCTTTCCACTGTAAAATTTTCTCTTTTAAAAGTGAACTTCAAACTTATATCGTGAAGCCATAACTGAATGTAATAAATTAAACAGTTTTCAAAGTAGTGTGAGAATTCTGTGGGACTGAATAAGACAGTAATTGCCTAATAACTGTATTTTTAAGTAAGATTTGAAGCTTTGCATGGTGGAAGTGTTACACAAAAAAGGTTTGCGGGTACACCATTCGGGAATATCTCTTTTGTGAAGAGGTGTGGCTCTCACCGGTTCTTTTCAGAACCACACCTCTTCACAAAAGAGATATTCCCCACATGGTGCACCCGCAAACCTTTTTTGTGTAACTGTACTTTTACATGATGTCCAGTGATGCTCCTTGAAAGCTGAAGAACAAAAACAGATTTTCTGCAAAGTGAGGGTTTTAGGAAGGCTCAACCACTCCATCCCTAAGTTTGCTTGAGTTGCTACCAATATACATTTATCAAGAGCTGTAATTTCAAACACACCGCAAAGAAGTTGAAATGCAGTTGTACCACAAATATGGACATATTAGGCTCCAGAGGATTTGTTAAATATGACATCCACTTTGTGCTATTGCACCTTTCTGACATAATGGTTCAAGTAAATTTTACCAGTTGCCTTAGAATGCTTACTGATCAAGTGTACCTTATAAGAGCTGTTTCTACTTGGAACTATGAATGACACACCTATGACAGCATCTCATTTAAGATTTCTCCACAGCCTTTACCACCTCTTTAGTCCCCAGTCTATTTTGTTTTCTGCTTTTCTCAAATTACCAATGTCAATGGATCTGGGCAAGCCAGTCACCAAGAGAGACCCTGCCCAAATCAACCACCCCAGGGCACCAAAGACCTCACATCAACCGTCCCAGGGCACCAAAGACCCCTCACCAATCAGCACCTTCTTCCAGCAAGACCAAAAACATCAATGAAATTTCCTCAGTTTGGAGAAGCCATAAAATTTAGTTACACTGTAGTACAACCCAGTCTAGAAGTTTACTTGGTACACAAAAAGTAATTAAACAGTTCCATCAGAGAAGAGTTTAATTTTCTCCCACGGACACGTACCATTGGAATCCGGAGTCGGGTTGGCGCAGTGGTTCTTTCCTCGCCTTCCACCTCTGCGGTCCGGGTTCGATTCCCAGCTCGGTCCACATGTGGATTGGGTTGTCAGTCCCTACCTGATTCCGTTGGTTTTACCCAGAATATTCCTCTGGGGTTTTCCTCCCACCTCTAAAACTGTAACTGCTTCTCATTGTCTCCTCTCTACAGGTTTCTTCAGGCTTACGAGCTATAGTGCCTAGGGCACTTTTGAGGAATCCTTGGTGTCATTACCAGAAATAAATAATAATAATAATGTATTAATAATAATAATTATACTGTGAAAAATAAAGTGAACCTGAACCTGAAAGAGGGAACATAACAGGTCTCCACCGATATGTAAATCCTTTCCTCCCATTGGCTCACTGGAAACATACATTTACATTTAATCTAAATACCATCTAAATTGATTTTCAAGTTATATAGTAAGCCATTCATCATATTAAACCTCATTCTAGTTAGGACTCAGTGGTCTAAGTATAAAGCACCAGGGTAGGCTTACGGGCATATTGACTAGCAAATTGAAGAGGTTAACCAGGGATTTAGAAGGAAAATGTGGCATTGTGTAAATCTTGAATCTTTCACAAATGTATTGTACTCCATCCTGAGTTGATTTGCTCTCAAATCGACCCATTATAATCCTTTAACAGGATTATCAACTGCAGAGGGGGTAGGGCCTACAATAAATTTGCTAAAGAACAATCAAGATTGAAATTGCACTGAACATTACTAAATATTTCTTCGTGCTGAAAAAGTATGTTTAATAGGAACCCATGCATGAATAAGCCTAACCTACCTGGAAGTTTGCTTTGGCCTAACTGTTTTTATTGGTCAAAAACAAACGGGCCCGTCGGGCCTATCATGATCAGTACCACAGAACAGTGAACACTGCTGAAGACAGCCGATAATCATGAGAATATCGGGGGAAAATCTGCAGGCCTAGATAATACTGTCCTATAGATCTCATCTTGAGTTCTGTAGAGCAGTATTTTCAAACACAACACACCTGACTCTCTGTCCTTTCCAAACTTCCACCGTTTCAAAAATTCGACTGTCTTGCATATCATGCTCGTGTGTCCTTGATCTACATGTACACCCACTCACACACATACCGTCTACGCGCGTGCTATTTGGCGTTACGTTCGCTCGTTAAAGTGTAGCTGCATTGAATTTTTATTTTACACAATTTTTCTGCATCTTTGTACTCTTCTTCGTTGCATGAAAACTCTTTGACACTCCGATCCTATTTGGTTAAATGCACTGAAAAGTGCACGTTTTTAATTAAACGATTAAAGTTATCCACGCAACTGAGGGCGCTGTTACTTTGAATTCATCTGGAGAAGACATGGTACAGTGCATAGGTGTTTCTGTTCAAACTGTGAACCCAGAATTTACCTATTGAGAACATTTCTGAGAGAGGGATTGACATTTTGTTACTGCTTTGCACATGAACAACAATGAGTCCGCAAAGAAAAGAAAACTGAGTCCAGGAAAATCTACAAAAGTGCAGGACTTTTTTGTGTACAAACCAATGCAATATTGAGACTTCTTCCTGAGATGACATCACAGTTTTGCTCATGAATAACAAAATAACCTTTGATATAATTAAACAAAAGTTGAAAATCAGTTTAACTAAGGCACGAAGATACATTTTGGAGGATTGTGATCACAAAAATGATTGCATCTACCCTTACTTGTACATGTAAGTGAAAGGTCAGATGATAGGTCACGGAACTAATGATTTTGACCAATGTACGGGAAAACGGGAATATTGCCATTTTTTTCATAGAAATGCTGCCGAATGAAGTAACCAATTCCTGTCTACTGTTGATGGCTTGTCACTCAGTCTGCTCAGGCAAACCCCGTCTTAGCGACGCCCATATATATACACAATAGGAGCTTCGACTTCATACAACACACAATTTTTTATTTTTCTATTTTTAAATTATTTTTGTACTAGTAGGTTATGTCCTTCTTCGACATGCATACATTCACACTGCATTCTCGATTAGGTCAGAGAGTTCCGTCTGAAATAAAGTAATCACCCGCCCGAGCAAGCTTGGGATTTTTTTCGCACTCTCTGGCGACTTGGGGTGAAGTGTGGATATACACGCTGGTGTAAAATCAACATCTCCATCACAAAGCCAAATTAACATTGAAACACATGATAGATTCAGACATAAGACTGCAAATAATCCATCGATCTCATAAAATGCATCCAGGAAAGTTCTGATATGACCGAATCAAAACCAGACAGAAAGGAAGGACCCAGGACCAAATTGGTGGGGGGGAGCTAATGTGGGATTGTATCCTTCAATGTTCAATTGCCTTTTCTGACGGGTGTGGCTACATTTTTTTACACACCTTCTGAAAGAAGGGAAATAAAATAGAACAAGCGTCTCTTTTTCGTTACTTTTCAAAAATACAATTTTTTGCCCCTAATTTCCTTGGGAGGGTGTGTTGCAACCCCCCTGGACGCTATACCTCGATTAAGGTATCCAAGGCGCGTTGGAACTTTGGAAGAACATTTTTTTTCCTATTTTAGTTTAATGAAACCATTCCCCATTACTTATCCATCTGGGGAAAAATCACGACTCTCTAATGATCATTCTTGTTCTTGTCATTGGCAAGCTATTGTTTCTTCAGCATTCGTAGCAGAGTAAATTATGTCCTGCGCAAGCTCCGCAAAAATGAACTATCTTTGGCAGTGCAACCTGTCCATCTGTGTATATTCCCCTTGCAGCAAATTTTGATTGTACAAAGGGGCCGCCGCTTTGGCCCATCCTTTCTAGTCAATCACAAATATATATCAGCTGAAGAGACTGCTGTGAGGCTTTTTCGCTCACAAATAAATGAACCGATTTGTCGCAAGGAAAATTGCAGAAGAAAAAAAGGTGTCGCGTGTTCGTCCCGAGGCAACTTGCGGCAACCACGGGAAGGATATAAAATCATCTGAAGAAAACGATTCCCTGTGCGTGCGACACGAAGTAAAATGCCTTTTTTTCCCGGATAGGTTGAAATTTTTAGTCACGAGAAGCTGTGAACGGTTTGAAAAAGTGTCAGCCGGTAACTTGTTACGAAATTGTCGTAATGGTTTCCTGATAATTGGAAAGAAGACAATGATAAAAATAGATACCCCAACCCCCTTCCCGCCCGTTTTCTTTTATACTCTGCTTCGGTTTACCTATTGTTCCCAGGGAAAGGAGCAAGAGATACAACCAGAGATGTATGGCTGTCCCTCACCGTTACTTTTCCAGTTACCTTCGAAACAATACTTTTAAGCACCTAGGAATGATCGTCTGTGCATGCATGAAGTTTTGTTCAAACCCGTTACCAGTCTTTGTTGAAAAAGCCCCTTGAGGAAGTTTTTGGAAGATATTTTCAATCGCTAAGGGTGGGAGATCGGGTTGTGCACCCACTTTTCGAGCGTACAAACAGTTGACGGTCAAATCAATTATTTTTTTCATCCTCTGCACTGACTCTTCTTCACCCTTCATCTTCATCTCCATTTTTACTTTGCAAATGGAATTAGGCAAAAATACATTTAAAACTTGGGCCCCCAAATGCTCCTGTAGGCCTATCTGCCTTGAGACGAAGCGCCCCCTATCGGTTGAAAAGAGCCGTGGTGGTCTAGTGTGTTCAAAGAGTCCCACCGTAACTAGTCTGGATACCAGATCCGGTGATTCGAACTATTCTACTATTGAAGATTTTTACCAAGGGTCGTCATATGCAGCAAGGTATGAGACGGAGAGAACCCTCCCTGCTTTGTGTTGGTCATTGTCTCGCAGGAATCTGGGGAATTCCTTTCAGACATCTCGGGGGGGGGGGTGTTAAGTAACAATAGTCTGGAATGTGTATAGGGATTGGACATGTTAGGGGGGGTACCCCTCGGTCACATTTCTTGCTGGGTATAAGGGTCGTCAGGGAATCTTTGGGCAAGGAACCAGGCTATTGCCAATTGCGCGCTGGGTCGACAATATTCACGCATTTTGATTGGCAAACGTGTAAGAAACTCTTGGAGGCGCACTGTTGTGAATCGCTCATATTTTGAGCACCATAGA